ACACACACACACACACTGGGGATCAAGCCCGCAACCTGGACATGTGCCCTGACTGGGAATTGCACCGTGACCTCCTGGTTCATACGTGGACGCTCAACCACGGAGCTACACCAGCCAGGCTCTAGTGTCATAATGGTCCAGCTGCGCCTCTGGCCCTGAGTCCACGTTCTATCAGCGTGGAATCTGGTTACCCGGCGAGGCCGCCAAGAACAGTGTCCTGGTGACTAGGAGTTTCTCTCCTGAAGGCTGGGCTCACAGGCCCGGTGGCCCCTCAGAAACTCCCAGATCCCACCGCACCCCCAGCCCTGCCTCCCTCTCCTCCTGCCCTTTAGTCCTTCAGGGCACCTGCAGCCACTCCTGGGCCCACCAGTGGCCTTGCCCTGTTGCTGCCCGAGTCTCGATACTCCTGCAGCCTCCTTCCCTCTGAAGACGGCCTTTCCCCTAAAGCAGCAAAGCGCCCTGTCCAGGGGCTGTTGACGGGGCGATCTGGGCTGTGCCGGCCCCTGTCACCTGCCTTCCAAGCCCAGGCAGCCCCGCCCGGCAGGTGGCTTCCCGCCTGCCTCTCGCTTCCCCTGGCCCGAGCCTCTGTGCTCAGTCCGACCCTCGCCGGTTAGACAGAGGCCTCGGCGTGGCCCCGAGCTGATGGGAAGGGCTGCCGGCTGCCTCCCACCTGCGGGATCTGGGGCGCGTGTCCCCCCACCCGCGCTTGGCGCTGACGCCTGTCCTGGGGCCGGCGGTCTGTCTTCCAGCCTGGCTGCTGCTGCAGGCCCCGCGGTGGAAGCTGCGGGAGGGGGACCCCCTGGTGCTGCGGTGCCACAGCTGGAAGAACAAGCGCGTGCACAACGTCCAGTACTTCCAGGACGGCAGAGGCAGGCAGTTCTCCTACAACAACTCCGCCTTCCACGTCCCCAGGGCGTCCCGCAAGCACAACGGCTCCTACTTCTGCCGGGGCCTCATCGGGAAGCTGAACGTGTCCTCCGAGGCGGTGGTCGTCCTGGTGGAAGGTGAGGGCTGCAGGCGCACGGCCAGACCTGGGCGCTGCTAGGCCACTGAGTCTCTCTGAACCCCAATTTCTGTAACCAAGACAGCTGACGAGTGTGGGGCACCGTCCTTGGGCGGGACGCTGTGCTGAGGGCGTCGGCAGCAGCGCCCCCTGCTGGCCACGGACCCCAACAGCGGGTGAGCTGGGCAGCGCTGACTGCGGCAGGAGGAGCTGGGGTGGGGGTGGGGGGTCACCTGTCCTCAGGTCACAGCAAAGGGCGAAGCCAGTGGATGCACCCGCTCGATCCGTGTGAGCGTTGTTCACGCACCGTGTCTCAGGTCGGCGTGGGCCCAGGACGGAGCAGAGCTCCCCCTCCGCCAGAGCCCCGCGCGCGCGCGCGCACACACACACACACACACACACACACACACACACGTGTGCGCGTGCACACAGCTCCTGGACTTCCTGGTGCCACAGAACGTCCACCTGGAACCAGACCAAGACCACATAGCAAAGCAGAGATAGATCCACACCTAATGAGACTTTAACACAGCAAAGCCATCATTTGTATAAAAATAATCTCATTGAGTTTAAATTTAAAGTAAAAAACACTCTCAACTGGTGAGGGAAAGAAAAGACAAATAATGAAGCAACTGGGTCAGAATGCTAGCACTTAGTAAATGTAGGAAAAGACTATGAGAGAGTTCTTTGTATGATTCTGGTAACGTTTTGTCAGTTTGAAATTAAATCAAAATTAAGAGTTAGAAGTTGAAATAAAAAATCAAGTATAGCCTGGTCACAGTGGCCCAGTGGTTGAGCATCAACCTATGAACCAGGAGGTCATGGTTGATTCCTGGTCAGGGCACACGCCCGAGTGTGGGCTCGATCCCTGATCATGCAGGAGGCAGCTGATCAATGATTCTCTCTCATCACTGATGTTTCTATCTCTCTCACCCTCTCCCTTTCTCTCTGAGATTTTATATACTACTAGAGGCCCAGTGCACGAAATACGTGCACGGGTAGGGTCCCTAGTCCTGGCTGGCAATCAGGGCCTATCTGTGGGGCGATTGGGGGGCCCCCGCTGGCACCCACCTTGGCTGGCCTGGTGCTGCCCGCTCACTGGCCCCGCCCCCACCACCACCGGTGGGGGCCTGTGGGCTGGGGGTAGCTCCTGTGTTGAGCGTCTGTCCCCTGGTGGTCAGTGCACATTATAGAGACCCGTTGTTCCACTGTTCAGTCAATTTGCATATTAAGCTTTTATTATATAGGATAATATATATATAATTTCTATATTTTAAATCCAGTAAAATGTTTCCAGTCTATAGACAGCGGCAAGAAATGAGTCTAAAGCTTGTCACCAGGGGCTCAGGGGTGAGAGCCCGGGCCCCACCTCACTCCCTTTGGCCGATTAGTTCCTGCCGATAAGGAGCAAATGTCAATGGCTCACTGTTTGTCAGATTTCCTTGAGCGACAAGGAGCAATGTGGGGAGAGCAATGAGTGTAACTTTGAGACACTGAAATTAAGAAATAATGTTCTCACACCAACTTAAACTTGGACAACTTTCACAAATCCACACCAAACCCAGCATCCTAATGTGCTTGGCCCTCCCAGTGGCGGCCTCGCTCAGCCCAGCCAGGCAGATGCCAGTGGGAGGAGCAAAGGCAGGTGATTCCAAATTTCTGCCTTAACAACAGCCATTTCTCTGCCCTTTGCCTCTCACGCAGTGCTGGCCATCTCACGCGTCTCCCCAGGGCACCTCGTCCTGCTCTGCCTGCTGCCGGGACTCCTATTTGCCATGGACACGGGGCTGTACTTCTCTGTGCGGAGAGGCCTTCGAAGCTTATTGAGGAACAGGACAAATGACAATGTCACTTGGAGCAAGAGCCTCCAGGACAAGCAGGAGCAATAAACGAAGACCCTCTGACCTTCAAGCCTCAGAGGGAAGGGAGGAGGGGAGGGAGGAGGGGAGACCAAAGCAGGGGGAGGGGAGACTGTGCTAGGGTGAGGGACTGCGGCATGGAAGGGTTACAGAATGTGGGAGGGGGAGGGACTGCGGCCTGGAAAAGGTTACCGATTGTATTAGGGTCAGGAACCG